AGCCCCCTTCCTTCCTATCCCCCCCACTCTAAGATCTGGGCGCTACTACCATTCGTCACCGGGTTCTGGAATGGAGATGGGTAATATATGGAACTCCCGATGATGTTGGCACAGGCTGTTGCTCTGAGCCTTGCGGGAGAGGCAGATGCATGCTTGAAATATAGTGTTACCACACGGCAGCAGCGCTACAGACACCACCAAACAACAAAACGATCAATGTCAAACACCAAAAAACAACCATTGTCTTACATACAACATAGAATAACACTTCGGCGAACCTCAAGTGGACTTTACGAGATCTCTGTTAGAAATGGTAATTTTAGCATTCAGATAATGAGTTTTTTAATATCACACTCACTGAGACTGTTAAGTAACCGCATTCATTATATTTCTTTTAATTGGCGGTAGACCAAGCACTCCTTATATTACAGTTTTTCCACACGCCTATTGTTTGCACCAGAATTTATCCCTGCAGGACTCACTCTGCTAAAGCCACAGCTTGCGTTTATGATGGGGAATGATATCAGCTCTCTTCCAAAACCTACAGCGAGCTGCCTACATAAGCAGTATTTTAAGGATATGCATGCTCCTGTTTTGTAGGCTGTGTCAAAAGGAAAGAAATTGTACATTCATTAAGCCAAATTCTGATTCCAAATTCTAATATCTTTTCGGTCAAATAATCAAATAATCGTCTGTCCATTGGAAAAAAAAAAACAAAGATAGAAGATACTAAATATACTTTATTCAATACAATGTAAAAAAAATTATGTGATCAATATGACATGTTTTCCCATTACTTTAACTCATCAAAATAATTTAACCAATTTCAGCTCAATTTTTAAAGTCAGTTTAATATGTCAAAATTACTTGTATAGCCATAGTGATTATACTTAAAAATTTGAGGCAGCAACTGAACTTAAAGTAGGTGTATATTTTTTACATTGAACAGAAAAATATATACAGTAAAATGTGAATTTGATTAATTTTTATTTTAATTTTTTTTCAAATCGGTGTTCTATGTCTTTATGTTATTGACATTTTCACGACAATTAAGCACATTTTCCAAAAAAATTAGCGTAATGACAACTTGCTTTCATTACCAAACACATTTTTTAAAGCTAGAATGAAGATACATTAAACTCAGTACAATAAAACTACAATATTATCTACATAACATTTAAATACATTTTTTGGGGGGAGCAAATTATCTTAATTGTATTTTAAATAAAAATGGAAATAAATTTATAAATAAATTAATCCCCAAAAGTCTAAAATCCTCATCACAATACAATAAATCTAATCATTATTACATTCTTACAGACACTGTAATAAAATGGACACTTTTTTAAAGGCAGCATAAATGAAATAAAAATGTGATTAATTGTCATGCAAATATCACGATACTCAAATAGCATTTGAATGAAATCCACTCAAAGGCCTACTGTGTCCATTATATCAATTACCACTGAACTTTTTAAAAAACAAATAGGTGAGTGAACACAAAAACACCAATTTATTAATTTAATATGGGGCAAATATCTATTCTGCAGAAAGCTCAGAGATACTCATGTTCCGAGTGTCTTTTTGAGTTTACCAACAAGTATTCATAATAAAGCATAATGCCTTATGTAAAAGAAAAAACTGTGAGTCACGATTCATGATACAATGCCATGTCTGATGCATACAGGACGTACTCATCTGATTAATCTGTTGAGTACTCAAGTAAACAAAATGACTAGTAGCTAGTAGACAGTACAGCAGCTCACTAGGTTTTGGAACTCAGTCCATCAGACGCTGTTACCTTTACTGAGCCGAGGCTCAGAGCCTGGCTTTTGTGTTGAAATCATCACAACATATGGAAACTCCCAGAGAGGCCAGGAAGCATCATGGATGTGTTTGAGAGGGAGGGCTACATTACCAGTGACCTGGTAGGTGGGAAGAGGCACATGTACTTGCAGCCAAAGTCAGTTGGAGTGTGAGTGTGTGTCCAGCACTGTAGGCCTGGCCGTCTCTATCGTCAGAAATGGAGGGAACGGTTTCGTCCAACACCTCCGTCCTGTTCTCATTTACAGACATTAGCTTTCATACCCTGCTGATCTAAGCAAACACACTGGCCAGATAACTGCATGAAAGGAAATGCCTACTCACCCGACAAGGACAAGCCTCTCTCTGCTGTTTGTGTCTGGTAGTAATCAGTACAAATACACACACCTGTTCTCCCTTCGCAAGCTGCCAGCAAGGCAAACCACCTTAATTGGCACAAGGCGACATTAACTTAAATTAATGCCCTTTAACAAAGTCCTCATCCTGTAATGATTAACTTTACCTCACTCATTAGATGGGCAAAGCTGCTGCTGTTTTTAAATCATTGCTGCGTCCCAACTCGCATACTAGTCTAAACAGTGTGCCAGAAAAGATTTTGTATGTCCCAAATCACAGGACATTGAAAATAGTACTCCAAAGTTGCCTGATATTTCCTAATGGGTGAATCTTAAGATCTTTATTTCCTGTTTAGGTCATAATTCAATTCGGAAAAACAATGAATGAACGAATGAAAGAATGGATATTAAAAACTATATGCCACAGTATTCAGATGGTGTCATTGAATCAGCATCAGCATGTGTCTAATGAGAAAAAGCTTTATCTCAAAATCACCTGTCCAGAGAATAGAATTTATTCAAATAGACTATTGAAATGCGCTATATTCCAAGCCTTATCAAGCCATATGATAACATTGTGTGACAAACAGACCAAAATTTGTCATTTTTTCACTGATAATCACAGTCTCATATCGCATGGCTTCAGAATACTTGAAATATAGTGCATTTTATGTTGCATTTTTAGAAACAGTGTTGTGAAATTGATAAATTGAGCTTTCTGTGTGCAACGTCGTTATTTTCATGACAATTAAGCACATTTCACCCCAAAATCATTACCATAAAGAAATAAATCTCAGTAGTATTACTATATTGGGGAAAAAATATTTTCATCGTACATGCACTGTAATACACTGATTGGTTGATAATTAAGATAATAGGATCATAGCCTCACTACTGCACACACTCATAAGTTTGTACTTTCCTGAAGTACATGGTTTTAGTGCATATTATAAGTAATTTAATATAAATAACTCAAATCAACTGAAATTCATGTTGTAATATTGTTATGCTCTCAAAAGAAAACTGTGTATTAAGAGTATATAAAGGGCATAGATTATTGAGGACTTTAAGTGAGCTGTGATTGGTCGAATAGAAATTGAATGGACAGGTTCCCATTTTGTCCCCTGTAGCAGGTGCTGGAGAACATTGATATGCAGGGGAGACAGTCTACTATAATAAAGCAAAGCTACATTTTTTCAAGTTTCTGTAGCCATTCTTAATGGAATCTCATCACTCACTGAGAGTAAACAGTGTCTGTGCACCGATACACACTATAGCAAACATCATGGGACCATATGCCACAGCATTCAGATGGTCTCATAGCATCAGCATCAGTGTGTGTCTAACGAGAAAAAGCTTTATCACAAAATCACCTGTGCGGGGAACAGAATTTATCCAAACAGAAAGGCTGCTTGTTTATGAAATGCATAAGTCCACTTAAAGGAACAGTTCACCCAAAAAGCAAACCCAAATCTGTAAGCTGTGTGTGTGGAACACAAGAGAAATACAGATTAATCTTAATGCAACTTTCTTACCACAACTCGAGCTCAAAAATAAGACTCATCAGCTATATTCCAAGCCTTCTGAAGCATACGTTAGCTCTGTGGGACAAGCAGACCCATGCACTGTATTTCAAATCTTCTGAACAACAACTTTATGTGACAAACAGACCAACATTGTCATTGTTTCAAGACATTTTATGTCACATTGTAGGATCATTAAGACAATATTAAGTCTATAAGTAATATACTCTTTTGTTTTTTTCAGTGTGTTTTGGGGTTTGATCACAATAAACCATCAAAGAGTGTTAAAATGTGTTTTATTATCCTTCTATATATAGGTTCTACCAATGTGGTGGCCTGCTCTGTGCATGGAATAAGACGGGCTATGACTGCAGCCTTGCACATCATCATCGGTATGTTTTTTTTTTTTTTTAAAGCTTCTAGCCATTCCCTAGCCTTACAGCTGCCTGTATGCTAACAGTAAGGCCTTAAGGAACCACGGGACTTAATGGAGCACAAATATACATGATAATAATATGTAAATGGAATTCGTATTTACTTTTCAGTTCCACTGAGTTATGTGTGCAGGGGCAACGGTTTCATTTTCACCCATTGGAAGTCTCTCTCTCCCTCTTTTTGGTGCATCCCAATGGCAGCGCATGCGGTGGCTCTCTGTAATCTGTTGTTTAATTAGAGTGCACAGGCTGTTGTTATGGGGGCCGAAAGAAGACAAGCCCCCCACACAGACTCTGCCTCTCCAGCTTTGGAGATCATGGTTAACAGGTCCCATGGAATGAGAGACAGTCCCGGGAGAGGTGGAGATACGTCTGTCGTCAATCACCCGTACAGTCCCGCCACAAACACTGAGTTTCTTTGACGTGGCTGTGGGCCGTCGTTGGAAGTGTTACTTCTGGCTGGCAGTGTTCGCTTTGGCTTTAGTACTGCATGTTCCTGTCTGTCTGTCTGTCTGCGAGGCATTTTTGAAGTTAGCACCAATATGTCTGGGCCATTGTGTCGACTGTGCACGCTCTCCTGGGCTTAGCTTAACAGACAAGCTGATTTGGCTTGTGTCAGGCGATTACATGCGCAAGCTAAGCTTGCATCCTCCGTACAGTCCCGCCACAAACACTGAGTTTCTTTGACGTGGCTGTGGGCCGTCGTTGGAAGTGTTACTTCTGGCTGGCAGTGTTCGCTTTGGCTTTAGTACTGCATGTTCCTGTCTGTCTGTCTGTCTGCGAGGCATTTTTGAAGTTAGCACCAATATGTCTGGGCCATTGTGTCGACTGTGCACGCTCTCCTGGGCTTAGTTTAACAGACAAGCTGATTTGGCTTGTGTCAGGCGATTACATGCGCAAGCTAAGCTTGCATCCTCCAAAAAAAAGACTGGCAAAAATTTTGCTTTACAGCTGAATTACGATTGGGATGAACACAATCAGAACTGCACAATAGAATTACAGAATCAGTTGTGTGCGCAAGTTAATGAGGTTCTTTGTTGTCACTGTATCATTGTTCTATGTAGATTACTGATAAATTATTATCTGGTGATATTTTGTTTTCCAATCACAGGCTTCATATGAAGTTCATTGTTGCATTAAAGGAATAGTTCACCCAAAAATGAAAATCCTATCATTATTTACTCACCCTCATGTTATTCCAGAACGCTGCTTTTATTTGCTTCTGGAGAAGACAAAAGGAGCATTTTAGGGTATCTTCATATAGTTAGTTTCCATACAATCAGGCTTTAAATGTACAAAAACTGCATAAAAAGCAACAAATGACTCATGAACTATATTTTAAGTATTCTGAAGCTTTGTGTGAAGAACAGACTCAAATTTAAAAGGATAGTTCACCCAAAAATGACACAAAAACTGCATAAAAAGCAACAAATGACTCATGAACTATATTTGAAGTATTCTGAAGCTTTGTGTGAAGAACAGACTCAAATTTAAAAGGATAGTTCACCCAAAAATGAAATTTCTGTCAATATTTACTCACCCTTATTTCATTCCAGAATTATGTATATCTGTAGAAGACAAAAGGAGATTTTTAGGGAATCTTCACATAGTTCTTTTTAATACAATGACAATTAATATAACTCATGCACTATACTCTAAGACTAAGATATCTAAAGTCATACGTTAGCTTTGTGTAAAGATACCGTTTTGTAACAGTATGCTGGTATTTACTTCTGTAGAAGACAAAGTGAGAATTTTTTAAGGAATTGTCACATTTTTTTCATACAACAACAATTAGGCTTTAAAAATGCACAAAATACCATATAGTCCATATGACTCATGCACTATATTCTGAAGTCATATGATAGCTTTGTGTGAAGAAAAGACTGAAATTTAAAGGGAGAGTTAACCCAAAAAAGCTAATATTGTGTCATAATTTACCCTCATTTTGTTTGAAACATTTGACTTTATTTCTTATGTGGAACACAAATATGTTAATAAATTCTGCATTTTTTTTTTCATGCAATGAAAGTTAATGGGGTTATATGTTGTTTGGTACCCATTGACTTTCATTGTATGGATGGGTTAAAACAGTTAAAACATTCAAGTTTGTATCACAGAAGAAAAAAAAAAGAATAATGGAGGGTTGGAACAGCATTTTTGGGTGAATGTTCATTTTTGAGTGAACCCTTTAAATGTGCAAAACTGGATTGTGTGACAAAATCAGATGACAAACCCTCAGGAGTGGTGGTGCCTAAAACTCTGCGGCCCAGTTTTGTTCTCGCTTGGCTACAGACTCGGATGATTAATCACAATCTGACCTCCACGTGTGCGAGAATGCGTCTCATCATTAAGTCCGAAGAATTGAGCCAAATGGTATTGTAACTCATAGATTTTGTCTAAAGGGATGTAGGGTATCAGACCGAATCAGACAATTTAAGATTTGATCAAGAACATAGTTGAAACACGAGGAGCCGTATTCCACAGAGGCCCAAGACACAGGATGTTCGTAAATCAGATCCTGGCGCCACAAGCCTGAACCAACCTAATAAATAGGGTTTTCTCTATATTTTGGATATTAATATCCATGCAGAGTTGATGTTGTACGGCTCGTTCAATGAATCGCTGGCCGTCTCAGTGATCAGCCGTAAAACAGTGATTCTGTCCAAATTCCCTTTAAAATCTTAAATGATCCCCTTTGAGCTAAATTGACCTGTTTCCCTTACAGGGAGGTGTGAGTTTTAAGAACAAGTGCTGAATTTCTTTGTTCGCTGAGATTGGCACCTTCTCTGTGCACCACGGTATGCTCGCCATCTCAGCAGGAACGTTGAGAAACATCCTTGTACCTTGCATCCTTGCATCCTTGCATCTCGTGATTAATTGCTCCATCAAAACATTGTGGCTCTCAGTACGAACCGCTGAGCTAAGTGTAGGCACTCGCTCAACAAAAGACAGCTTTTCCTCAGAAGACATTCCGACATGCAGGAATTAGGCATCTTATGTTAAGCGAACTGAATAAAAAACACGTTTTCCCCTTTCTTCACACCACAAAATGTCTGGCTTTTGTCGCTGCGAGGTAAAAGAGAAACATCAACGGCACATAAGACACCTGACACGAATGAAAGCGTGATGCCCATTTAGGAGGGCCAATATAGGGCTTGTTCATTTCTAATTAAGCAATATTTACGCATGTGAATAAGGCCAACTGGCGGGATTTGGAAGGATTCAATGAATAATTCATGAGCAGCGAGAGCATATGCATGGGGAGACAGAAGGAGGTCAGGAATGTGCCGGGCTACGGGGACTGGACTCAACCAATGGGCCACCAGATCCAGTCATTCCTGTTCACTCCGACATATGCAATGAATTAACTCAAGAGATGTCACATTGACACTTGATAGATGACTCTATTGTTTCTAATGGACTAGAATTAAATTTGCTGATTTATAGGATGCACATTTACATCTACTTAAATATGTGCATATGCATACAAGTACATAAATACATGCATAAACCTATTGATTGGACACTAACTCAAAAGTTTTTCTAATTTTTTTTTTTTTTGAAAGAAATAATACTTTTATTTAGCAAGGACACATTAAATTAATCAAAAGTGCCAAAATTAATTTAAATTAATTAAATTAAATTAATCAAAAATGGTGTGCTTTGGAACTTTTTTACCTGACAAAAAAAATGTATCAGGGTTTCCACAAAAATATTAAGCAGCTTTTCAACATTAATAATAATAAGAAATGTTTCTTCAGTGCCAAATCAGCAGAATGATTTCTGAAGGATCATGTGACACTAAAGACTGGAGTAATGGATGCTGAAAATTCAGCTTTGCCTTACAGGAATAAATTACATTTTAAAATATATTTAAAATACAAAAGTTATTTTAAATTGTAATAATATTTCGCAATATTAATGTTTTTGCTGTATTTTTGATGCAGTCTTGGCGATCTTAAATGACGCCTCATAAGTGACCCATTTAATTTATAAGCAACGTGGCGCTTATCTCATGAAGTGCACGGGACACTCGACTGACAATATCAGTGGAGCATATATTGGGGTAAAACTGCCAAATATTGGGTAGAATGGTCAATTTGATTTAACTGTTTTATTCTTATATTTTTTTTGGTATGGAATTCAATATATTTATAATTAACACCCAATCTCTTACCATATTTTTTCCTCAATCTCATCGCAATGCTTTATGGGGTCACCTTTTTAATGAAGAATACATGCCATACTGCTTGTGAATTTGGTCGTTTGTAATAGAGCTATAATCTTCATTTGTAAAGGGTTCTTACTGCCTCTTGTGTTTAACCCTCCTGTGGCTCTAGTGTCCTTTGTTCCTAGTGGTTTGTACTCTTTTTAGGGCAGTGCCTTGGTGAACCTCATACCTCAGCGTACTGACTGCATTATGCCGCTTGTTCTAGGTCATCATCAGCCCGTGGACGTGTGCAGCTTTAGCTCTATGGGTCATCTGCTGAGGTTCGGCTTCTCTGCCATGTTTGGTTTCGGTGGGCGGACGCTCGCACTGGCAGAGAGACACCGCTGGATGCCACCCAGCCAGTGCCACGAGTTTGCTCTCATTAAAACAATGGCAAACCTCAAGTAAGCGCTCTTTCTTTTCAGTTGTGTTGTCAGCTGTAGCTGTCTCTCATCTGGTGGGCTCCAAGGGACTGACAGGTGCTCTATCAAATCTGGGATTAGTGTCAGAGCAGCCTGGCACGGCACACATGGGCACCGTCTCTTAGAAATCACCCTCTTCTTATCATAAAACTCCATCTAACTTGTTTGTTCTCTCTCCTCGTGTCCCTCCCCAATCGACCGATGGTGCCTGTGAAGACCTGAAGACTGTGAACTGTCCTTTATAACCAGCAGAGGAGCCGAGGATCAGACAAAGTATGTTAAAGCCTATTTTTAAGGTTTTCTCTCATCCCCATCCAACTTTCAACGTAATTATTTGAATGTTATTTTAAATAAACCACCCCCTGCTTAATTGGCCATTGGAAAGAAATCAAAATGCTGGCGATGCTGAAGGTCACCCAACTAATGCTAATAAGGCAGGATGACCCACACTGTGAGGAGCCCATGCAACTCCATTATTACTCAAATGCAGATTATGGTTGTTGACTACAAACATCTCTTTCTTTAACACAGAGCTGAGCGAAACAGGGATGGAGGAGACATTTGTGAGTACAGCTAAATTAGAAGATACTCTGAAGATATTGCACCACTAGATATCTGCTTCATAGGGCAGCAAATGCTCTCAGCTAATAAGTGCTTCCTATGATAAACAAAGGGGGTGTTCCTCAAGGGGGTGTTTACCGGCCAAATTAAAAGCAAAATTCTCCAATGGATTACATTCACATTTTAGGATAGTTTTTTTTTTTTGGAGACTGGAGATTTATACACAATACAAATCTGAAAATGATTCAGTAAAAGTGCTTGTTATCACAAATGACTGTGATTGGTCCATATGGTCCATCTCTATCAGTGCTGAGAATAGTAACATGTACCATGCTCTTACATGGTAGTTCAGAAGTGGTCTGGATGACCTCTTTTCACATTAAGACATTCAAGTGCACCTAAGAGTTTTGTATACAATCAGAAAAACTCTCACTCTACATTCTGTGATAGGTGAGCATGGATCCTGGCAGACCAGACAAGGTCTGTACCTGAATATCAGCATCATGGCTATTCCCTGCCTGTGCTCCATGGCCCCCAGGGGCCTGGCCCCAAACATCAGGTCAGTGTTCTTCCACACCACCTCTATCCCTTCATGGCCAACCATTTTTGAAGTGATCATGACAACATCCTTTCTAGGTGCTTTATATTTAAAGTAAACACATTTTACTTTCATAATGATAAATAGCATGATAAATATTGGCAAGGCCACTACTGTTAATAAGGTTTACACATACATAAGGTTTAGGGTCAGTAAAATCGTAAAAAAGGAAAACAACAAGTTGTGATGTAGTCACTTATAATTTGTTAGTATGGCATATTTGCATGCACAAACTCAAGCTGTTAAGAGTCCACCTCACCTGTGTTTTTTTAAATATTCCGTATTTGCAAAAGAATCTGATTTACACATTAATTTGCCATTATAAAATCATTGGGAAACTCACCACCAGTGATGTAGCACTATCTCAATGCATCTGTTCTACTGAACGTCTCGAGCAAGATCCGTGGTGCGGCGCAACTCAGCCATCTCATCAGAAGACAGGCCCTCGCCTTTATCCAGGTCTTCCAGCAGGTCAGCCTGGTATGCCTGGAGCACCGCCATAGTGTGCAACGAAGCAACAGCCTGACCTGCTGCTGCGTATGCCCTGCCATTCAATTT